TGGAGAAATTGATAAGTTAGGAGATGAAGCACGCAGAAACTAGTGAGAGCATTGGTTTGCATAATGAGACAAATCTCTAATTGTTAGAAAAGATGCTTAAAAGAGAAGGAAATCGATATAAACGTTCAAATATGACCAACTATCGTAAGTGTAAAATATTTAATGCTACTTGATAAATTTGCATAGTTTATTTTATTCTCAAACTTATTAACAATTATGTTCATTAATCCATGTTTAGTAATAATGCGTACTACTTAGGGATCTATTTTATTTTTAGGATGGTATTATAAAAATGAAATTCAGGCATAGATAATATCTTCAATTGAATTTATTCAATTCCCATTTCCTCATAGGTCCTTAATTTTTTTTCTTTAATGGTCCTTAAAAGTCCTTAATTTCCATGTGCAGAAATGTGTACGAACCCTGTCTAGATTTCCTGTTGGCCAAATGGGGTTTAAGATAAAATTTTAATATTCTAAAGAAACCAAGGAAGTTGGTCAGTTTATTACTCTAGGTTTCCTGTTGATCAAATGGGGCCAAGATGAATTTTAATATTCTAAAGGAACCTAAGTGGGAAGTGAAATTTGTTCTTAAAGGGTTGCAAAAATGGAGAGAGATTTATTAGAGATTTTATTCTGAATTCAGCTGTTAAGATTAAAAAGGGGAGTATGGCAGTTGTCTCTCCAGCATGCCCTGGGCACAGTTCTTGGATAAAAGATGCTCGTATTGTGGAAGATCAAGCCATAGCTGTAGAAAAGAAGGAAGAGGACCACTTTTCCTCAGCCAGCAGGTATTGGTTTCTAATTCTCGGGTGGGTAGAGATGGAAATATTGGTTGTGAGGTTGCCAGTGAATTCTCCATCATCAACCACTGATGGTGACTGAAAAACTGTGCTCTTGGGAAAATCAGTTCAAGTAAACTGAGAATTTATCTAATACATATCTGTTCTATTAGTCAATAACCCCTTTCAAAATAGGTGAAAACTGGTAAGCTCATCAGTGGTTTTGTGTCTTTTTCCCTGTTGCCACTTCTTCATACTTCTTTATAAAATAATAATTATCAGATCATCACTTATCATTATAACTTGCATATCTTGACTTGGCACATCAGAGAGCAGATGGTGGTGCCTCAAATAGAGGACCAAAGGAAGGCAATCTGAAGGACTTTCATTCTGAGAATGAATTTTATCTTCTGGTATTGTTTTGTTTCTGATATTTTGGTAAAGGCATAATGTGGATTTCTCAGTAATAGGGATAACTTAATGGTAATGCTTAATTTCACTGATAATAGATTAAATTAATAAGCTAGATATGTTTGAAATTAGATTGCATTTCCATATAAACTGAAGTGTAATATGTATGCTAGGAATTTGGAATGACTAGAAATAACTTAAAATAATCTCCTGTGAGGAGTAGTCTGCTTAGTTAATCTATAAGGTATTTCTCCCGCCTTCGTGGTTCTGCACGCTGGGCCGGTATTCCAGAGATCCGTGGTTCGATTCCCGGCGAAGGCGGTTGCTAATTTTTCATCTTGCCTGCTTCCAAAAATACCTAATGTCTCTACAGTGGTGCCTGAACTAAAAGGGTGTTGGATGATGATTCTCCTCACCCAGAATTTGGCGATTGGGTCCCCTAAAAACCCCAGTCACCCTTTAAAAGGGGGAGTATATAAGGTATTTCTCCCAACTTCCTAGGGTGCCTTCGTGGTTCTGCACGCTGAGCCGATATTCCAGAGATCCTTGCTTTAATTCCCGAAGTCGGTTACTAATTTTTCATCTTGCCTGTTTCCAAAAATACCTAATGTCTCTACAAATCTTAATAATTATTTTAATCTAGGCAATGTAATTAATGTGTTTTAAATGCTAAACCTTATATTTTTATTAGTGGTCTACCAAGTCATGCCATATGTCTGGATTCAAAACAGTTTTGGTACTAGAAATTTATTAGAATAAATATTAATTACTGCGATTTCATTATATATGTTGATGCCTGTATTAAGATTTTGGAGGTTATTTAATTCTTAGGCCCACCAGCGGCCGAGCGGTAAAGCCGCTGAACACTGGTAGTTTAGTCCAAGGTTCGAATCCCGCGAACGGGCTGGCTGCATGGGCGTTTTGTGGTTTTCCCCATGTGTAATGTTTATACGAGCCAGTTACCCTTAGAAAGTCCTCCACGAAGGCATCCCTACCCTTAGGCAGATAGCCCTCGAGGCTTTGCCATGATCACACATATACATTTAATTCTTAGAATATTCAGTTAGATTGAATAGATGAATTTGTATTTTCATTGGATATTTTAAAAACTCATGATTGATTTATTATGTGCTGATAATTTGTCTCTGGTGTCTTGAAGTATTGGTGGTATGGAATTCAATGAATATGGTTGTATAGGAATCGGCTAGCTGTAGTTTTTGGAAGATATTATGTATTGTGTTATGTGTTTTTAGAGAATTACCAAATTAGAAATTATAAGAAGTTAAGGTGATAGCCATTCTGAGTTGAAATGAAATTTCATTTTATTGAAAATATATTTTAATACTAAATCATTAGAGAGGAATAAATATTTTAGTTTAATTAACTTTACAAAGATAAAATTAATTGGTTTTAAGATCAGTCATTAGATTTTAGGTTTAAGATAGGGATTTTTTTATTTAAAGTGTGGCACTAGCTAATTTCAATTCTTTACATCAAAACAAATATTTTTTCGCATAACACTTATCAACTTGAATTCTCTTGAGAATTTAATGGATTGCCTTTGCAGGATTTTTATATTTTAAACATCATAAAATCCAAAATACTTTATTTAGTGATTTAAAAAAAATGATACTGCAATGAATTTATCATTAACAAATAACATTCTAGCAACTGTAACACATCAGAATGAAATAATTACTGATTAGTATGTTAAATATAAAGCAGTGAAAGTTTCATTTGAAAGTTCTAGATTATGGAATGCAATAGTTTTGTAAAATTAGGCAAAAGTTAAAATTTTACATTGGTTTTACAGAAAAATTCTATTAATTATGAGGAAAGCAATTATGGGAAATACTTCTACAGTGAGTGATTTTTCAAAGATTGCATCTTGAAGAAAATGGACTGCATGCCCATCTTTTTAGAAACAGAGCAGAATTCTTCTTTAAATATATCAATTTACAGGTTTTAGTTTTATGTAATACCTAGTTAGTTACTTCACTTCTATATACACTCCTCAAAAGTGAAATTGCAACACCAAGAAAGAATGCACGCAGTGTCATGCAAATTGCAGGAGCGAGAGTTGTGAAGTGGATATGCAAATGATAAATGTTACGCATGCGTTTGATCACATGGTACACATATGTGGGCTATAAAGGTCAGCCACTTTTTCTTCTCATAAACAGCATCTGAGGGTTTATGGAGCATTGGAGAGTTCAGATGGAGCATAGAAAATGCCTCTGAGACGTCGGCGAGCTCAATACCATCAGTTAACGACAAAAATGTGACTATATTATCGAACTTCCATGAGCTTGGTTTGTCGCTCCACACAATAGCCACCCGCGTTGGGCACAATGTGAGTACCATCCAACATTGTGTCACATGATGGATTCAGGAAGATGTAAGTGCACGTCGAAGAGGAAGTGTAGTGCACAGACCGACGTATTCGGTGGTCAACTATTGGAGACCCTTTCTCCACGTCATCTGACATCCGAAGTTGGTTGCCTCCAGAAGCAAGTGGATCTGTGTCCATCCAAACTATACGTAACTGATTGCATGAAGTGCACTTACATTCACGGGTCCAGCCGCAGGGATACCATTGACTACTGAACACATACGACTAGACGTCTGGTGTGGTGTCAGCGTGGACCATCGAATGGCATCGGATTTTGTTCACAGATGAATCTTGTTTCTGTCTGTGGATGACTGACGGCCGTCGACCAGGTGTCCCAGAGAACGCTACAAAACAGCCCATTTTGCAGAGCATCACACCGGTCCTGCACCGGGCATTATGGTTTGGCGTGGCATAATGTTTGATAACATGACGCCCTCATACACATTAACGGCAGTTTGATAGCGGGTCGCTGCACGCAAGTTGTGAAGCCTGTTGTTGTTCTGATTTGGTTGCAGGGTGTACCAAACACGATATTCCAGCAAGACAATGACAAACCGCATGTTGCACGCATCCTCTTAACAGCCTGATCAGATTTGATATCCTACCCTGGCTGGCAGCCTCTCAATCTGAATCTCATCGAACACCTGTGGGATATCATTTGATACGACATTAACCGAGGACCATGGCCGCAAACCCTGGATGATCTGCTGTACAGCATTGGATGTGGCTTGGCAAAGGCTACCTCAGGTAGCCATCAATGAACTCATTGATAGCATGCCTCGCCGGATTGCGGCCTGTATTTCTGCCTGAGGTGGGCACATTAGATACTGAATAAATTGGTTTATAATAATTTATTCTGCCTGTCTTTTAATCATTTGTATATCCATCTCACAACTCTTGATCTTGCAATTTGCATGACACTGTGAGCATTCTTTTTTGGTGTTGCAATTTTACTTTTGAGGAGTGTAGATTATTTTTGCTTCATTAAGAGAAAGAATCCCATACCAGTATCTCCCAAAATGCCCAGTTTCTCTATAAAACCAATATTTGAAATTTATTTGAATTTTGTCCAGTTTTGAATTTCATATAGATTGTGTTTTACTCCATGTAACTATAACATACTAATTTCATTTACAATAAAATTTGCATTATCGTAAGAGAAACTGATGAGTAAACTTAAAATTTGTTTCAGGAACAGCAGTTTGCGCATAACGTGAACAGTATTTAGTTATTAAGTTATGAATACTAAAAACATAAAATATTTTTAAATATATTTTAATTTATGAATTTATTTACTTAATATATATTAATTCATTTTTAAATGATCAGGTTCTGTGTAAATGAATCTGCCAATGTAATGATAACTATTTATAATATTGCTTCAATATTTTAGGTTGAATCAATAAAACACCTAAAAACTCATCTTAAAAATTTATTCTTTGGAAGAACACAATATACAAATTGCTGGTCCTATGTTATTATGCACAATAACATGGCCAGATACAAGGACAGCTTAACAACTGAAATCTAAAATTTGTTTTTGGTTCCTAAAAACAGTGACACCCTATAGTATTGTTAAACCGCTCAGATATACAAAACTAAAACATCTGGAAATCCTACCGTTGTCAAGCTTCCAATAACAGTTAACTTATAATTACAATATTTAAACAATAACACCAGATAATCAGTTTATATAACTTGGACATTAAATTAAAAAAAAAAAAAATCTGTCATAATAAAACAGTAAATTTATATCTAAAGAATTGTACAAATGAAAAATATCACAGAAAAAATATTTCAGCTAACTTTTTAATACCTTCATTTGTTATAAACAATAGATTTAGAAACAATGCATGACTGGAAACTAAAAAGGATTAATAATACAAATGCAAAATACAACCATATTCAATCTTCCAAGTCCTATGGCATTTCCATTCCACATACATAAAATTTTTCTATATCCACTGTAGATAACTGATAACTACTTTTATCCACTGCAGAGTCTGGACAGTTTGACTCATAACTGATATAATTCACTAAGTGAAATTTAAAAAAAAAGATTTAATTATCCATGCCAAGAAAAGGCAATGTATGAAAATTACAATTTTTAAGAAAGCAAATGATGAATTTTGCTTTATTATATATTATTTAATAAATTCTTTATACACTTCAGGCACCTTAATTTAAATTAACAGTAATGCATTAATGATAAATTTTTAATGCCCTTTATTGCAATTTTTTCCTTCCAATTGACTTCTGTTTCTCATGAAAAATATTTGTGCAATTTTTGATTTGCAACTTTTCAAGACTAACACAAACTCAATATTTCATAAATCTCATGTTAGTGTATTGAATTCATTGTATAACTAATTAAAAAAAATTCTATCAGATAGAAACAAACCAAGATGATAAGTGATTTTGCAAAGCATGATTTAAAGTAGTTATTTTCTAGATCGTAAGCCTTTCAGTGCATATCTAGCTTCTAGTTACTAAAGGCCTTTTCTAGCTGCAAACCAGACAAAACGCCAAATAAACTAATATTTTACATAAGAAAAAAATATATCTTAATACATGAACTGACAAAATTCTAAATTATAAAAACAACTATTAATATATTAAATTATTGTTTAGAATGCACTCATATACATGTAGGTAAGTATATGCATATGTGAAATCTTTAAATAGCAGCTACACAATTTACGTTTAAAAACCATAACTTTATATTGACATGCTGCCAGAAATACATACAATAAACTACAATATTAATCGAGTTAAAATAATTTTAATATGAGTATTTCTTTTAGTCAATGAACATTTTTACATGAATAATCTCTAGACTTGTGTATTTTCTAAACTAGAAAGGATTTCTGATGATCATTATGCACAAAAAAGTTGGTATCCTACATTAATTGCAAAACAGTAGTGCAATAAATATAGTCCAGAAAGAATTAGAGCAATGTATTTCCAAAAATTGTTTTTTAAAAAAGTAAATAAATTGATGCATTATTATAATATGCTATAAACCCCTTCATAATTTTTATTCAAAACTGCTATGATTTTTTGTTTTAATTATAACAGTTAGTAGCTTTTCTTTCTCTAGTGAATTTATTAGGAAAAAATTTACAGCAATAAGTGGGTGTCACAGTAAAGAAAAACTGTAAAATAGTCTCTCCATATATAGAGTATAATAAATAAATAATAAAATTTCACATGTATACTGTAATTAAATGCTTTTTCAAATTCGATCCTTATGGTTTTTGAGGAGTTATTTTTACTAAAAATTAATTTTTTGCATTTCAGCAGGTTATAAATTAAATTATACGTTTTCTAAATATGCCAAATTGCTCACGCAAAACTTTTCACTTTTTTAACATAGTATTAGGCAAAGTATGCTGCTAAAAATCTTAAGCATTTCATGTAACCTATTCCAAATTCACCAATCACCAATTTCCAAATTTAGAAAATATTTCTAATGATCATAAAACGTATATAATGTGTTTGCAATTGCAAGTAATTCGAGTATTAGATGAAAATAATATACCCTGATATTTAATTTGTCATAGCTGCCATTCAGAAAAATATAATGCTATTTCTAATTAAAAACACTTTGTTATTGAAACACTTTTAAATTATCAGTTTGTTGTTTGTTTTATAACACCAGAACAAGAAACTGCATATGGACATTTATAATAATACTGGCCTGAAGTGAAATGGATAGACTCGCAATTCATCTGAGAAAGACATTATAGTATACAATAAATAATTTTATTTGTAGTCTATAATTGAGTATGTTTCCAAGCAAAACAAATCTACAACTGAAATAAGTTAATTATCCATATAACTACACAAAATTAATGCCAGTGAAATATTTGGGGGCAATACCCAAGGACGGTATTCAATTAACACATAGCTCAAGATAAATCATAGTATCTTTAGAGAAATCATAAAAGAAGGGAAAAAAGAAAAGAATGTACAAAATCTTTTGACTGAATATTTTTTTATAATTATTATTTTGAAATCGATGAGACCACTGTAGGAAGCTTAAACTATACACTACTTGAAAACTAGAGTTACAGAAACCAACTCTAGTTTGTATCTGTTGGAGAAAAAGAGCTGAGGCTCAAAGTTCATCTCAGATTAAGTACAGTCTATCTGAGAATTCCTCTGCATTGCATATTATCAAGCCATATGCGCAGAAAGAGGATTTCACTTTTCCAATTCTTTCTGACTCTATTTCAGTGGATTTGGATTAGATTGACAGTTCTGTGTACAGCCATATTCATTTCTTGCCTCTTGGTGTGCTGCTGAGGCGCATTTTAGTATCTCTGCTGCGACTCCGTGCCTTGGATGAACTCCACTGTCCACCACTAGAGTGATTGTCCGATCGACTGTGACTTTTATGGACTGAAATGTCTGAAAGAATAAATATTCACGTTAGATTGAAATAAATGGCCCTGTTGATAGCTGTGCATCAAAAATGTTAATTTTGCACTCAAAAAGAAAGACAAAAGAAAAAAAAAAAGAGGCATTGAATCATCATTACTATTAAAATGGCCTTCATTTTGCTATGCTTATATTTAGCTGCATGCATACTAAAAAAGATTTTCATGAAAATGAGATTTATAAAATCATTCTTAAGATGTTGATTGCCTACTTTGAAGTAATGTAAGCAAGCCAAGACTGACTACAAGGTAACTCATAACTTATCATCCCTTATCTAAGTTTGATTCACTGCTGATGACTTTACATATACATCACTGATTCTGCTTTAATTAAAGAATAGGTCTTAAGCATGTCTGAACATGTTGACTACTCTGAAGAACTATGAGGCAACTCATGAGTTTTTTTTATTCCCTCCCCCCCAAAAAAAGCATGTCCAAACACTGAAAACTGCCCATGGCAGCCAATATGTAAAAAATGGTAATACATCACTAAATAACAAAGAAAAATAAAAGCATAATTATAAATACATCTACGTTTTATCTGTTACTTACAATTTACAAGGATATTCTTTAATTCTAAAACTTCTGTTACTTACAATGTAGTTTTACAACTTTTGCATTATTTTGCAATGAACTAGTCAACAAAGTAAGTGGCTATGAATGCCAACAAAATCAAAAACATGTTAAGGTGCATATTACATCATTCATATTTTCTTCTAAGTAATACAATTTATTTTCTGTCGAATTGGTTAAAACAGCTTTTATTTTTTGAGAGAGATTAGGAATTAGGAAAACTCTTGGTTCAAATTTTATCATTTAACTTATATTTCATACCCTGATAGACCCACAAACTTACATTCTGTAATGTAAATAATGCCCTCTCCATATCCAGTATCCTTAAAAATGGTAAATATGAGAAATTCATAAAAATTGGAACAGATGAAACATATGTTTCAAACCATGAATTCTTTTTAATCATAAATTCAGTTATTTCATAGATTAACCAAACTATTAAATTTTTCCATTTAACAGTATATCATTAAGAAACAATGTAACAATTTTGTTTCTTCCTCCTCGAGCCAGGTGAACGAGTTGGTGCCATGGTTGGTTTTGGGGGACTTTTCCATTTGTAACATAAATATGAGTTAAGCCACATGTGCTTTACCATGTTCAAATAACTACAGTTTTCCTGCTGTCAATTTTTGAACTTTCTACATTTAACCTTCACTTAAAATTAGACAAAGCAGCAACCTTATTCTGGGATCTATCAATTTTTTCTGGATTCACTATGTAGATGATACATTCCTGCTTTTTGAAGGTGATAAAGAAATTTATTCCAGATTTTATTAGTCATGAATTCAATTGATCCAGCCATCCTATTCATTTCTAAAAGTGGATCAGATCTAAACCTTTCATTTTGTTGATGCCCACCAGCGGCCGAGCGGTAAAGTTGCTGAACACTGGTCTGAGGTTCGAATCCCGCGAACGGGTTGGTTGCATGGGTGTGTTCGTGGTTTTCTCCACGTGTAACGTGTATACGAGCCGGTTTCCCTTAGAAGGTCCTTCACGAAGGCATCCCTCCCCTTAGGCAGATAGCTCTAGTGTGCTTTGCCATAATTAAATACACCATATTAACCTTTAGTTGATATTCTAATAATTCACTATAAATTTGATTTTAGCACTGCTTGCTACTATAAAAATTTTTCCTAGTTTTTTGCTTCTCCATGCTAAATCCTGCAACCTATTGTGCAAAAAATGGTTTCTCTTTTACTGTGATGCATATTCTACTCGCAAAGTTTGCTCTTCAGAATCTCTGCTTTCAAATGAATTCAAAGCATGTCTTGTCTGTATGGCTGGAGATATATTGCCAAACTAAAAAAGTATTAAATTTCACATCATGGAACATGAATCTTATGATTGAAAAACAGAATAAATGTATCTTCATTACTGACCAGATTTTTGACTTTGGATCTTTGAAAAATGATCCATGAAACTTCTTCAGTTGATGAATTGGATTTCTTTAAAGCTTTTAACATTCACAGAAATTTATCTTCTTAAGTTAATGACATTAATTTCAATCCAAATCCAAATTTTCCTATTAAATGTCTAATATCTTAATTTTTCATCTTTGATTACAGTTTTTCTGAACAGATGGTAACACGTTGGTGTTCGCTTTGCTCCACCCATCATTTTCTATGTAAATATGGTCTTCACTCCTCCCTTCTTTGCAGAATATTTTTGCTCCTGAAAATGAGGGACCTGTGACTAATCAGCCTCAAAACTGATACAGTTTCATTTGAAACCTACCCGAAATAAGGTTGTTGTTTTGCTTAGCTTTAAGTTTTACTTTGATGTATTTTTCTTCATATTTAATTTTCAGCTAAAATTTTCATCCAATAATAAAATTTGATTTTGGTTTTTATTTCAGATTTTAATTTCTGCTATTAGGACTCTTTCACAGTTTCTAAAATATTGGTCAAATTAAAAGAAACTTTAAATTTCTTCCAAAAATCATCAGCTATTTGTCCGGAAAGAACGATTCCAAAATTTTCAGCTTCTTATCTGTTGGTGACTGGCTACATTATGCAGTTTTTTTATCAAACAATATTATGAGAGAAAAGCAACTAAAGAAACAAGGTTACTTATCACCTTCATTATACACTACCTGACACTGAAAATGCAAGACCAAGAAGGAGTGGCCAGAAAGTTATGAAACTCGGCAAACAGAAAAAGACAGTAATGAACAATAAGTGATCTTTATTTCGGAATGATATGCATAATACACAGCAAGAACAGCATCAGCTCAGTAGGTTGTAAGACCACCTTGGATGGTCAAATGTGAAGCAACATGTCTAGGTGCAGAGTCAATGATACTACGGACGGTGTCCTAAGGAATGGCTCTCTATTCCCTGTCAACCATTTGCCACAGTTTGTTTTCTGAACATGGCAATGGCAGGATCTAGAATTGGCTTCCAATTACATACCATATGTGCTCAATTGGTGAGAGATCAGGAGAGAACAGTGGCCAGGGAAGCATCTGTACACCTTGCAGAGCACATTGGCTGATGCAACCAGTGTGTGGTCTGGCGTTATCCTGCTGATAAAGGGCATTGGGCACTCCCCGAAGGTAGAGAAGTTTTACCGGCCGCTCCACATCATCCACATATCGTTCGTCCATCATAGTACCCTGAATATGAAATACAGGCAACCTGGAATCGTGTGCAATTGCTCCCGAAACGATGATGCCGCATGCCATGTGGTAGGACGTTCCACAATTGCTGCTGTATTGGACCTGTCTCCACGTTGGCATCACACTCATACACAGTGACTATCACTGAAGAAATAGAAGCGTGACTAACATGAGCCTGTGCCATTCTGTCATCCACATTGCTTTGAGCCTGGTACCCATTGCAGTTGTTGGCATCTATAATGTGGGGTCAATGGCAGTCTTCTTAATGGATGACATGAATGCAGAATACTAGCCACCAATCGATGGCAAATGGTTCTGATCGATATGAGAATATGAGGGTGTCTTGAACATGCTGCAGAAGTGGCTTGCGGGTGCGAATCAACATGTGCTGGCATCACTCTGGCTGCACTAACACTCCCTCGTACTTGCCATATTTCTGTGTCCCAACCATTGTTGCCACAGTCATTGTACTGCAAATGTGTCCAGGTGTGTGTGTGTGAGATTTGCCATATGGACCAACCTGCCCTTCTCAATCCGATCACCGTGCCCCTCGTAAACTCGTCTGTCTGCTGGAATCTTTGAACATTGACAATGGGCTGACATTCTCTACTATTACACACGTACTCCGAGACAAGAATACATTTTCTATGATGACTTCTCTAGAAGAAATAACGGCACGAAAATTGAACATTCTGCAAGTTCCTTCCTTTATATCTTCATCCACGTGCTCTGGAGAGGTGCACATATCACATTATTCGCATAATTCAGTGAAATGAGTGTACCATGAAATTGCCAAAATTTTTGGGTCTCTCCTTCTTGGTGTTGTATTTTAAATGTCGGGTAATGTATTTCCAAAACAAATTATGTTGCTACCAAATTGTAAGCTGACTCGAAATATGTTTTATTCAGTTCCTATCATATATCACATTTACTTTTAAAACTATTAAATTTTATTGCAATTGTGCACAATTATAACATGTATGTCTAACATATTTGTTTTTATCAAAATTATTTATGAAAACATTTACACTTTTATTGTTATATGATACACTGATTTATGATATAAATAAAATTATTCTCATCAATGGAAATTAAAAAGAAGTATTTTGTTGAGGTAATGAAAAATGTTTATTAATGCAGTTAACAAAATAATTAAATATATGTTTAATATTTCATACCATTATTAAATTTAAAATGTTATGATTATAATACAAAAAATTAAGTATAAAAATTTTATTCATAAAGCAATATCCTCAATTATTATCTAAATCAGAACAGAATTTTTTCTCCAATGATCGAGTTTTTGCTGCTTTCTTTATTGGTAACATACAGAAAACTACGGGTCAGCTTCCATTAGAAATTTCCTCATAATGGCATCTTCCCCACTAACAGATATCCTTAGCATGTTTAATGATAATTAAGTTTTTACTATGATGATCTTTTATCAACTGAATGACTACAATCTCCAGTAAATATTAATTTGACTTCTCTTAATGTCAAATTTTACCTTCTCGGCTTCTCTTAGTAGCTCCATTTGATGTGGCAGAAGTAGAGCGGGCAGCTCTCATTGCTCTCCCTCTGCTATCAATAACGAGCTTGTCAGGTCTTACAAATATTCCAAAACGAGGTTTACATTCAAAATACCGAACTCCATTAACTGTGCCATCATTTTTTCCTTGAAAAAATAAAATGCATAATGCACATAAATTAATACAACTTACTATAAATGTTACTTTACATATATTACTAAATACTTTAAACAGTCAAAAGTCGTTAATGCGGACACCCATAATCCGGACCTCAAAGCTACAAACTTTCTGCGCATGCATCGCGTTGACATATGCGCGCAAGACCTTTACGGCTGCGAATATGCGTGTGCGCATGCGCACAATACGTTTTTGCTTGCGCATTTAATGTATAACAGACGGTATAAGCTAAGCTAAAATTATCTAATTCAGTTAACGTTGTGTTTTTCCTTAATCTTCGAATTGGATCCGGCTTATTATTTTTTGAAGAATGTTAGAGCAATTTTATAAAAGTAAGCTTGGACTTTTGATTATGAAAATAGAATTTCCGATATATATTTACCAATATGTAAAGGATCTACAAAGCGAAAGTATGTTTCGAAGTCCATCAAACAAAAATTGGAATTACTGCAAAAAATGGATAAAGGCATAATCCTTTGTTTATCTAACCATTCCGAAATCTATCCTTATCTTCAGGGCAGATGTTTTTATTTTATTTGCCTTATATTTCCTTACTAAATGTAGTATTTCATCTCGATGTACTCCGTCTTTGACATGATTTAAATCAAATTCCTCGTCATTATAATTCGCTTCCGAAAGTGAAGAACATAAAATACTTCACATAAAATGAAGCAACTTAAACAACTTACATTGAAAGAAATGTTTAATAAAGTAAACAAATAAATATTAAGTTTTTTTTTTTTTTTTTTTTGTTTTGAAATTTTGATACCCTTTAGATCATAATTGTTCTTTATTTCATAAATTATGGTTTCATATTTTTAATTTTATAATTTCTGCATGCCATCTTACCATATTTAAACTGATGATCTATAATCCGGAAAAATCGATAATTTGGAATCGCCGAAGTCCCGACGAGTCCAGATTAACGACTTTTGACTGCATATAATTAATTACTGAACTGTATAGAAAATTTTTAAACTGTATAAACATTTTTAATGACTGGAATATCTGAATATTTATGCTGCATATGCATAGCATTTTAATAAGGCATTTTACATTTTCATTCAAATTATTGACTAAATGAATTCTTACATAATTTTAAAACATTGAAAATTAAAATGAATTCTTACCTGTAGGTGTATCTAATTCTACTCCAGCCCATGGGCCAGATGCAAAATTAGTTGGACCTAAGTATGCTACAACTCCAGTTTTATTATAAGGAGATATCATAACACTCTCACCAACAGTTAGCCATGCTGGTAATTTCATATCTATTGGTGTATCTCTAGATATTTCACCTAAATTAAAGAAATGCCTTTATTACAAACTCCTGCATGTTTTAAAGACTACAATTATATTTCCATCTAGATGAATGTATACTAAAATGCTTATTAGCTGAGTTGAATTCACTAGTATTCTGATAAAAAATATTAAAATTCATTCTTTATAAGCATAAAAATAAAAATATATTCCCCCCCTTTTTGAGTATAAATAGTGCATGGAAGAGAAGAGTAAGAGTTTATTATGACAAATGGTACAGGAAAAATTTGAAATTGAGAATTTGATCACTTTAATGTTTTTATAGAATTTTATGTATGCAGAAATGATGATCTCATTTCCAAGTAAACAGGAGTGATAAAAATGTAATACACCATTTACTTTTAATAGCTCAAATATATTATAAGGCTTAAATGAGTTGCAAGAACATGTAGCTGTTAAAAAATTAATTAATTAAATTAAATTAATTAATTGTTAGGTTAAGTTCTTGAATTTGAACATGATATTTATGACAATGGTAATAAAAAATGTTAATATTTATTATTATTAAATGCAACTGATTCCTGCCTAAATCCCAATGCACAAGTTTAGGGCTACACATTTCGAATGGTCTCCAAATAATCCTCATAAAGATTTCCAACATAAAACAAGGAAAGAAAACTTTTGGAAAAGAACCATGAAATAATGCATCTGAATGAATACAGCCCGAGGGCCAACAGGTTGGTTATACCAGGCTTTTGTTTATAGCTCAATATTTTTATCCGTTTAATGAGGTTACAAAATGTATCCATTTTTATTATACAGAATTTTCACAATTTCCCCTTTCTTTTTGAAATCTCCAGTTTCTTTTGCTTTTGGATATTTCTCAGAGGAAATATATATATATATATATATATATCATTTTGAAAGATAAGCTGTGTTAGACACATTCAGCAAGTGTCAATTCTTACAGTTTTAATTGATATAAATAAAAACACATATTTGTAAAAACACATATTTGCAAAAATTGTTACAAATTCATTTTAGCAAAGATATCAAAAACTACTCTTTTGATCATTTAAGTTCTTCAAATTTTGATCTCATTTAAATTTTTATTATTCATAGATGATGACAATAGAACATTAATATACAGTTACAATATTCAGAGACAATTAAAAAGGGGGGATTACATGTATTGAAATTAAAACAACATTTAAGTTTTTATTTATTGTTAAATGTCCATAAAGATTTAAAAATTAAAAGTATTTTCTCATATTCCATCTGTTTTCTTTTACAATTCATTATATTAAAACTAATTACATTTAAGCCTTAAATAAGTATAAAGATTTCAAGTTAGAAGACATTTTATAAAACTTATAACATGTATTTTTATACAACTAGTGGCGTAAATAAGGGTACGCAAGGAATGCAATCGCATAGGGGCCCGAAGGCTTAGGGGGCCCATGAATGTCCTGCTGAACTACATTTACATATTTAAACTTAAAACACATATAAAAATCATGTATTAGAGTAGTTTAGTGTACCAAAATGTTTTCTTAAAGAAAGGGGGGGGGAAACTTTACCATACATATTTTCTACAAAAATTGTATGTTCAAATAGTTTTCTTTATGAAATTTATAAATATGTTTTATATTTAACAAATGCATCATTTACATTATAAATGTACTTATTTATGACTTGTATATTATTGCATAAGTCATGTTCGTCGATCACAGAGTGCTATATATTAGTGTAATTTCTTCTTTGTACGTTTACCTATCATGTTGTCTGTCAGTTTATAACATAACCAGTTATTTACTAGCTTGCTAAATTAAGCGAAAAAAAACTTGGATTGGCACAGATTTTATATAGAAACTCGAAATATACTTGCATGTAAAATCTACTGGATTTTATTAAAAATTTCCACAAATCTAGACTTTCTTTCCCCCTTTTTTTAAGCACAGTAATTTTTTTGGGGGGGGGCAGGAAAGTTTTTTGCAAGAGGGCCCAAGAGTTCTAGCTACACCACTGTATACAACTTATATAACTCTTTTATATAGACTTTTAACAGATATAAATTTAATACAGTACCATCTGATGAACCTTGAGAATGAATTTCAGCATTTGTATCTACACACTGAGTATCCAAAAGGTCTTGCTCTGTAACAGTCTGCAATAATAATAAACAACATTAGTATGCTATTTAATAGTATTATAATTCCAAAATATGTAAAATTTATAACTGAAATAATTTAACACATTTTATATAACAGTTTTTACCTTATCTCCTTCAGTAGTAGCATTATTATTATTATGGAAATCTTCTATGAAATTTGTATTTGGCGGATAATATTCTGGTTGATGATCATCCTCACTAGAGTAATAAAAAGTAAATAAATAAAATTATATAAAAATAAAAAAAAAATATGAATGCAAAATCAATCAATATTTCATGTAATATCTATATATTACATAAAATATAATCGAAGAGATAACATACATAACACTTCAGTTAAAACAAAATTCAAAATCAAATCATTTCCAGAATCCTCATGGTCCCATAATCCATTTTTCATTAAAAAAACTTGCAGAACCTTTCTTTAAATGTATGTGAACTCAAAACAAAATAATGAAGATGCACTGGCTTTCTTCTTTTCTAGTTAAACTGATTTCCTTACAACAAAAGAACAAGCAGCAGATGTTTTTTGATATCTTGCTGGCATTTTCATTGCAATAATATTAAAATTTATGCTTGTTACATTTAAAATTATAGTTTTAAATACCAGTAAGATTTTCATTACGTTTAACATGCAAAATTTTCTAAAAATTTCACTTCTGGCATTTTGGTCTGCAGACAACTGTTCATTTAAATACTCCAATATTGAAAATCTGGTACTTCGAAAGTTGTGCCTCATTATATTGTGTTTTTACAAGTTGTTTCTTAAGGTTCCAGATTCCTTCTCTATTTTTCCTTGTAACACATATCATCATCTCTACAGTGAAACAATTTACCCCACTTTATTTGAGACTGTAAATTGCCTTTAACCTATGCTTGCCAATCACCAGCCTTAAGTGTTAAACACTAAAGATGGAAAAGAAAATTTAGGGACTCAAATCTCATTGGTTTCAAAGATAACTCTGAAGAAAGTTAAAAGGGAAAGACATAACCATGCAACCCCTATTTTAAAATAACACAGTATAGCCAAGTACTACAGGATTTTATAATGCAAGTATTCTGTTTAAAAATGGTCCATCACTACAAGGATTTGCATATCATATTCTTGAATAAACAATACCAGTAATGTAATATTATTTCATTCATACAACACAACCTATCAGAAAGCAGGTTTAAGAATTTACTTAAGTCTGAAGGGACTTATGGTTTCTCTGTTAACCATTTATCTAATTTTTTCTGACATGTAGTGCAAACATCTGAAATTTGCGCATTTATTCAATGTTCATGAAAAATTTTAACAGTTATAAAATCTTTGAAAAGTCCCTTAAAGTTTATTATGCACATCTTTTCAATACCTCATAACGCTTTCATTTTTGTTTGATTCATCGATTTCCTTTCTTATAATTTATGATTTGAAATCAACTGAAATACATAATAATTAACAAAGCATATAAGTGTGCAGACTACAGTAATTTGAACACAGATAGAAAAGAACAGTGTCCAAAATCAAATCTCATTTTCATATGCCAAAAGAACGAAATGCTAGAAAAGCCCTCCAGAAATAAGAATACCTTAATTGACAGACAATTAAAATGAACAAGGAAGTGTCACCCATAGCAAATGCATCACATCTAACTTTCATTTCACTGAATTTATAGAAATAAAATGCTTTTATTTTACTATTCTATATTAGCCATATGTTGTTTTTATGTTTTTTTGTGACATATTAAGCAATGAAATATAGATTAGAATACACTTTAACTTTTTAATTTTTAATACTGGTTACTCGTAGGAAAATTTACATATAATAATAATTATAGATCAGAATGTGAAGCAATTTATTGTTTCAAAGGATTGTAAGTAAAACATTTGATGAAAAGAACAGCATTTCTAAATAAATTTCAATATACGTATGTGTGCAAGGTAAAAATATGCAAAGCAAACTTCGAATTTTAATTAGCAGTAGTCTCTTTCATCCTTCATTTTAACTCAGACATTGGCTCTTTCTGTCTTAAAAAGAATAATCTCTTTAATCTAATAATATATTAATCTAAGTGCATCACTTCAAAATTAATCTGCACATGATCCTAGTTATCATATGATGATTATATTATCTTAGATAATGCAGATAACTTTTACCCCATCACTGCATAACTTTTCAATAGAAAGCCAAAATTTTTTGACACTCTCTCATGCTTCTTTTGAATGCATCATCAATCATTGTAATAACTTGGAGACAGTTGATATCGTAATAAATGTATAAAGAGGCAGAAGCTTGCAGATGTGGACGAATTCAATTACTTCCTTTTCATTTATGCTGACACACATTTTCTCTTAAACCATTACAAATAAAATGGGTGCTGTATGCATCCCACAATTTTGGAAGCTCAAACATTTTAAGACATAGAATGATAGAGGGAAGCAAAGTGGAAAAGTGACGATGCATTCAGAAGAAGCATGGGAGAATGTCAAAAAGTTTTGGTTCTCTATTGAAATCTTATTGTGATTGATGATGCATTCAGATTGATATATTATAAAATAGCTATGGCAATACTCGTACATATACACACACACACATATATATAGGTGTAAGTGTATATATGCATGTATATTTATATGTGTGTGTATGTGTGTGTGTGTATATATATATATATATATATATATATATATATATACACACGTATGTATGTTTACCAAATGTGTACTAGAAAATACATATAATAATGATAGAAAGGCACTGCTACTAAAAATCTATGCAGTAAAATGAAAAAAAATATTGATTTCCTGAATGAGATAAATCAAAATTATTAACAATCTTAGAAAATAAAAATTCTATTTTAATTTTTTCTATCTATTTTCTGCTTATCAATGTTATTATATTGCACTTAATATATATAATTTTTCTGCTTGCAGTATTCTAACAGTTTAATTTTACACAATAAATATAAATATCAGGATGATGATATGCAATAGTGTTAAAACAATGGTAAACCATCCAAGTATAATGGACATCTATTACTGGTACTCATTTTAAAAAACTATCACACAATAACAATCGTGAAAAGTTCAGCACTTCACAATTCTAAGTGCTTAAAGTTCATATGTTATTTTAAACAAATACAAAATTATATTTTTACTTGTGAAAGCCTCATTTGGATTTGTTACAAAACCATATTTGTTTTTGAAATATAAATCAAAACATGATAAGCACATCACTTTGATATCAGGATAAAAGCAAAGTTGAATAAATAGAAAGAAAATAAATCATAAAATTTTCAAAATTTACCTTGGGACAGTAATCTCAGGAACAAAATCAGTATCACGGAAGTCTTCTGTCACACTGTGTATCGAGATTGAATCTTCACTAGATGCTGGTGTTGTGGATAAAGCCTGAGATCCATAACCACTGGAGATCATGCTAGGAGTTCCAACTTTAGGCTAAAATGATACAGAGTGCATCAGATAATTATTTAAAAGTAACATTTTTTACAACAGAGTTACTCTTATAGTACTGAAAAGAATAAAAAAAAATTAAGAGATAAAAGGAAACACACGGAAGTACAGTGAAAGCTCTCTAGGATGATCATTCTCAGCTTTAGATGGTTTTAATATTCTGTGGAGGTGGTTACATTAGAGAATATGACCATCAGGGACATTCTATATTATTATTTAATTACATCTCGGAAATAATGGTTACTTTTGGAGTCATTTATTATAGAAATTCTGCTGTGCAAAGTTAAATGAATGATACTTAAAATATTTAAAACTGTCCAGAATTCGAAATTTAATAACTTAAAACATGCTACCAAATGCTCTATTCTCATAAAAACAACTTGAGTGTATAAGCATATATTTACTAGAAAATTTTAATAGTTTATTCTGTAGGCACATCAGAGAACATACAGATGATGATAATATATATATATATATATCAAGAGATCATTTTAGGAAGTTTAAGATATGCAGATTGCCCAATATATAGTCAGTATTCTTTAGACCTCTTCTGAGTTTGTAAGCCATAAATACATACCATTGTTAATAATATACAACTGCATACTTATGTTTAAAAAAAAATATGGAAAATGGTCACAAAATGCCTCCCTGAGTGGATTTCAGATTTATAATTCTTAAAATCTAAATACTGTTTTGAGGTTTATTTATGTGAGCAAAACCTTTTGTAACACAAGCTGTATAACTGTGGATAAAAGATTCAGCATATCTTTGCATTAGAGATTCATATTTTAAATATGACTTACATGAACTTACATTCATATTTTAAATATTACTTACATTGCTCAAATAAATGCATAAAGTAAAATTACTACATCTCTATTCTCGTTAGAAAACAAAATGTCTTAGTTTAGTTTCGGTCCCAGAATGAATCAAATAAAATACATCCTTTGACTATGACAATTTTGATCATGTGATATCTTTTAATGAAAACACTAAATTTGAATTTTTACATTGTCCTCACACAGAAGTGTTAATCAGAAGAATGTTTTTTTAAGCAGAACAGCTCAAATAAATGCATAAATTTCCACAAAATCAAAATTATCCAAGCTACTAATTAATTGTCAGGGACTGTATAAAAAATACTGCCAGAGATATTTATGCACAACAGTGTGAATTTCTAAAAGGTAATTTCAGTAGTATGAAAATAATAATTTAGAAATCTAAATTAAATAAATATTTGTAAAAAATTTTAAAATATTTCAGCACTAATTCTGTATATTAGACAGCTTTCCCTTGTTACTTTCTCAGTAAAAGGCAATTATAAGAATTTAAATTTTACATATTTTCACTAAAAGTTATTGTTTAACAAATCTGTTACATGTCAAAAACTTGCCTTATTTATATCAATTCTTTATCTGGGGCCTTGGATTTGCAATAAACCACTAAAACCTAATTAATAATGTAATCAGGGCCAGCTCCAAGCACAGGCAACATAGGCAGCTGCCTTCAGCACCAGCTAAGTTGTATCCAGAAAATTATAAGTAAATAAAAGTATGTTTTGTTTTAAATTATTAATGCATTTAACTTTTACAGCATGCTAATTATACCGAGCCCCTAGAGTTATAAAGATTCTGAAGCCAGTTCTGGATATAATGTTTTGACACATTCTCTCTGTGTGTCTATATGTATATATGAATGAATATACACACTTACATATGTAAGTATTACTCAGCGATGATTATCCATGAAGCCAGATGATTTTATCATTTGCTGAATCTTACGAGATGCAATATTCAAGTAGATTACCGTGAAGAAGTTTACTAATTTTGTACATATGTAGGAGGAGTTCATGAGCTTGCAAAGGAATAAGAAGTTTGGAAGGAATGCAGAGTTTCCAAATGAAAAGTATTTTTTTACAGCTTTAGCTTCACTTTGTGTTCAGTTCACAAACATTAAAGTTATTATTAGCTGAAGCATTATTGTAAGTACCTGCATTTTTAGCATAATGTAAGAATCACAAAGAAGAATTCAAAATTTTAAAATGAAGCAATTTAAATAGATTATTTATAAAAGGAAATTACTATTTTTTGGATAGAAAGGGAGAATAACATGTTAAAATAAGAGTGTAGAGGGATTATTGCAAATAATCTAAGTTAGTATTTTATTTTACTTATTTTTTTATCTCACATGTACATACAGATATATATTACATTTACTTATTATACATTCGCACAAAGTAAAACATCTTCATGGTGATCCCCTCTGAAACTGATCATTACTTCTGAAAGCATATATAAACAGAACAGTGCTGACACTGCTTGTCTTTGTCGAGGTGTTTGACAAGCACTTCTACAACGGATCAAATCATCTGGAAACATGGGTACTCATTTTTGACTAGGTTCACTGCATACAGTAAAGCCTCATGATGATCACCCCAAGATTTTTTTTAGTGGAGGTGTTTATTAGAAAGCATGCCTATCAATGGTTTAAAAAATAAATAAATAAATGTTCTATAAGAGATACTAATCATTTTAGAGGGAATTCTTTTAATCTTGATAATAAGGCTGTTTACCTGTATATCACCAATGCTATCTGGAGTTTCTAATGTACGACCTCTTTTTTCTGGAGCAATTTCAGATGCTTCAGCATGATGCACTCTGGAATTTTCTTCTGTTTGACAGGACTGGAAATTATTTAATTCTTCTTCGCTGCCTGCTAATTTGTCATTAAGATTTTGTGCAATGGTTTCATCTCCAAATTGCTACAAAAAGTATGATATAAAAGTTAAATTATTTATTAAATTACCCTTAAAATAACTGAATGACCATTTTAACTAAGCCCCTAGAGTGCATGCACATGAAACACAAAGACATAAGTTACACTGTTGAATTCTAAATTACCTTTTTTAATATGTCCTATTTAAAATAATAATTAAAATTACGAATAACATATATTATGTATATAAAGTATTTAAGCAGTTTGACATAAATAAAGAAACAGTGTTTTATGCATAAACTAATCATGCAATTTATTAATAGTTGAAAAAAATTCTACAGCTCATGCTTCTTAACAGTAATGAAATAATTAATTTATTAACCCTCCAGTGGTTGTGAAATTCAGCAGTTCTTTTTTCCCAAATACATGTGATATCTGTTAGTTGTAAATTTGTAATGCGAGCTGTTTATTTGCACCCACTGTGATACACAACTGGAATGCAAGGCTGAACTGATTGATGACCATCAAAAAGTTAATAGTTCGATTAACAATATTTTAATACGAAATACGAATAATAAGAAATATTAGTAATGAATAAATAAGAAGAAATATTAATAATAAATATAAAATGAATAACATTCAAAACAATCAAAATGTTCTTTTTTCTTAAAACAAAAGTTGCAATTAAACTTCCACTTTTCAAAATTAACCTATGATTTAATATGCAGTTAAATAGGACATATTTGCAATAAATTTATTCTGTATTATTTATAAACTAAAAGGAAATAATTTTATAAACTAAAAAAAGAAATAATTTTAAATATAGCTTATAATTAATTATTTTTCTCAAGGTACTTATCAAAAGTTTGATCTTTTTTCCTTTAAAACATGTGTTTTGATACAGCTTGGTATTTTAGATAATTTATGACATTTTTAACCCTTCAGCACACGCGCATCTCACTGCGCTATGTTAGTACCCGTGCGAGACAAGTTTTACCCTAGTGTTTTTTTTTTTCGGAGTTCACCCCCAAACGTGTAAATAAATGCATTTTCTTTGTTTTCAATGAACGGATAAATGACTAATAGCTTTGTGAATTCTGTTAAACCTTTTTTCCAGTTTTAATTCGAGATAAACTTACTTTAAGTTATACAAACATTTCCATACTGGTTACCTAAAGTAAGCCATAAAAATCGAAATTTATGCAAAATTACTAACTTATATAAGATACATATATGATTTTTTATATTAGAAAAAAATCCGTTTTCATATATACATATTTTTTAAACATAAGTGTTTATTATAAAGAGTGGTATGATAAAGTACTAGAGGAATATGAAAAGGCTGCATTCTTACTAGCTTTTTCCTTAAAACTGAATATACTGTCATACAATTATTCATATCAAAAAATAGATTCTAAATAAGAATATTAAAAAATATAAATAACACATAGTTTTTTTTTTCCATCCCCCCCCTCCTACTTGAGTTTATTATTCAAATAATCTCCTCACATTGAACAATCCTTACATAGTGTGACAACATATTTTTACAAACTTGCATATTTTTACAAACAAGTACATATTTTTACAAATGCTGGAGTGCTGCTCCCAGCACTCCAGCGTAATATAATAAGAAAAAAAAAACACCTTCAATTCAGTTACGTTTGTCTCTTGTGCATCACGTTCTCTAGATAATTTGTTTCTTGTTGATGAAATGTAAATGTTTGTTGATTTTACCAAATCTTCCATTATTTATTCATCAATAATTTTCAATAAACACTCAGTTGAATGTTTCAAATTTCTAAAGCTTTTCTTGACACTATACTGTGCGGCCGTGTCCGAACGTTTATCGAGGGTAATTTTTTACTTCATATTGTTCCATCTATTCAAACATAAAAATTATATGATGTCAAAGAAGATCATGGAAATCATCATATCACTGGTCAGAAACAGTTTCGTGAGCACTTTCAGAATATTATAGCACTCGAATTGAAATTTTCAATTTCGCTATCAGTTTCAACACTACCTGAGAGAGAAGAACTCGCAGTCGTTACTATTCTCGCTCGTACGCACTCATCTTCAATGAATGTCTCTCTGGAAGTGAAACGTTAGTACATGCGCAGGGTAGCTACAATCCCGTTGCACATGGCTTCTCCGAAAATGCAAAAATCCCATGGACACGGGAAAATTCCTTTATACGACCACTTCCTAACCTTGATCTTGAAAGGTACATAAAGTACTAGAAAGGTCACGTACGACCTTCCCTTATTTTCTAAGAAAAGACTACACGTGGGGTGGATTTTACCCCAGTGTGTGCGCTGACGGGTTAAAACAAGACAAGTAAATTTAAAAAGAACACAATAAAGATGTTTAAACCAAGGTTTTGTCAAGTTTTTTAGAATTGATTAAAAATAAAAGTGGCTCAGAGTGTTAGATTAACTTGATTTTTGAATTGATACTTTGGAAAACAAATCTTCTACAAGAAATCATTAAAACAAACAAATGTAAAACAATAACCCACATACGTTATCACAAAACTCAGCACTATCATCCAGGCCACATTCAGGTACGCTCTGGAGACTCTGTTCTTCAACAACAGTGGACATTGGTTTCACTAATTTTGTAGACTGTGGGGTTAATCCATTCAGAGGAGAATCTAAAATAAAAAATAAATTATAACAATAAAGAGAAAACAAGAAAATTTTCTGTTTTATGAAGAACATTTTTTAAAAAATTATGGATTTAACTATCATGCAAACCGAAATAAAATTCAAACACATGCTAAAAAGAGTATAAAGTAATATTTGTACTTTTGCTTATAAAATATAAGAACAAGGTCTAAGTAACACTCAAGATAAAGAAGAATTTTTATGACAGAAAAATAAGCAAAATAGGGATATGGATACTAAATCACACTTGCAACAAGCTAAAAATGAGCAAATACAAAATAAAATAAAACCACACAAAAAGACACAACCATGTGCGCAAGAAAAACTACAATGCTTTTTGCGCAAAAAGGGGTGATCGAAAGCACAAAGTCTGATTTAGAAAAAGCATTCATCAGAGATGTTTTAGACCTAACATACTTAAAATGGATGAATTCTGACGAAGACTCATATTCAAATTGAAACTGAGATTCAAGAAAGTGGGCCGAGCTGAAATTATAAACACCACAATTATAAAAATGACAAATTTTAATTTCTTAAACATAAGAGAAAAACATTTCATAAATATTCATACCATAAAAGAAACTAAGTAAAGTACAGTTTACTTACATTGGTTTTACTTTGAAAATAAAGTATCTGAAACACTGCATATTTAGCCAAATTCTAAAGCAAACATATAGTATAATAAAGCAAAATTAAATTGATCATAGCAGCCATGTATCTAAGGAGCAAAGGATAAATTAAGGCTCAGCAACATGCTTTACATTTTAATAGCATGTGAATCCCCCAATTCTGCTAAGAAAAATCTTAAAAATAACTCAGCAGCATATCACATTAAACATGATATCCAAATGAACTAATCTTCAGGATACATTTACATATTATATTTTTCTTATATTGCAACAGAATCAAATTCAGGAGCATCATTCTACCTGTTCAGTAAAACTTCTACTAAAAACATTTTCAGGCATTCAATGAAAATAAAGATGTCATAAATTCTTGCAAGTAAAATTTTAAAAAAAGGAAGGGAGAGTACAATTTTTTTTCTTCTAAAAACTATACAAAGAAGAATCCTTTCTTCTTCTGAAATTTTTAAATGTAAAATTGCATACATATAGTTGTAGCTGCCTGGAAATGCAATCTGGCAATACGGAAAAAACATTGCTAAAGTAAACACTTCCTTTTAACTTATTTCTTGTTTCTGTATTTACATTATTATTTTATTATTGTATTTTATATAAAAAAGTAGCATTCTGGAAACATTACAAAAAATTACCGAAAAAGAAAAATTGCTGTTGCACTTTACTTCAGTTTATTTGTTTCTAAGCAATTGTTTGCTATAAGTATTTTTGACTTCACAAGTTTTTCATGATGAATATTAAAAACAAAAATTCTACTTAGCAAAACCTTAGAATTAGCAACAGAATAAAAATTTTCCTAAGAATCTTCTATCCTTTCACACAAAAAAAATAATACAGATGAAAATATACACAGAAGTTTTGTGAAATATAGTTACTATTTCACAAATAGTAATTATATTTCACAAAATTTATCTTATTTAGTTGACTTTAATCAAGTCTTTCCCAATGCATTTAAAATTCTAGTAACTTAATATTTATTACTTCTGTGGACAGAAGGCGCTGCCTTTTCTTTTGCTTTACTCCTTTGTTTTTGGTGTAAATATGACCATGGCTTCTCCCTTCATTGCAGATTTTTTTTCCTCCTGATGAAGAGGGACCTATACATTTTTGCCCTCGAAATTGATATAGAGTCTTAATTAAAATCTACACCAAACAGGTTGTTGCTTTGACTAATTTTATGTTTTACTCTGGCATGTTTCATTTCTCTCTATAATTCATATTCACAGGCAATCCTTTTAGAAACAATTTAAAATTGAGCACCATTTTTTATTCATAAATATCATCTTTATATGGCTGAAAACTGTATACACATAGAATAAAACATCAGTGTACACAATTGTAAAACACACAGAACTGGTTGCTATTTTAAATGAAACCGCTGATCAAGCCTCAAAAAGTGCAATACAAAATCTCTTACAGCCAACTCACATATTCTGCTAAATACTGATACATACTAGGCGGTGAATTTGAAAAGAAAATTTATATGATTATTTATATGATATTTATATGATTGTAGCATAATGCAAATCCATTGTTTTTTCCTTCCACAAAAATGCTTCCTCACTTCTAAAATAATGTAAGCTCAAATTGCAACACATTTTGTTACATTAATACACATAAGTAGCTTGATGCAGCTAAATTCATACCTTTACTATTTATTTTAACCATAAACATAAATTTTATAACATAATAAATATAAATATTCTTACATGCTAAGACTAACATAGTAACTTAAACAAACCAAAATAAAAAGGTGCTATACAAAATTCAAAATAAACAAATAACTTCTTAATAAATTTAAGCACAGCAAAAAGAAATAAGATGCGAGAAAGTTAAGACTGCAAAACCCAAATCTGGGAGCTGGCAAAATTAATGTGTGACTGCAAATAAATAAATACTCAGATTAATGATTTAACATCATATAACCAGTAGTGAGCAATGCCATTTTATTAAAAAGGTACAGATAGGGCATTTTATACTCATTACTTCAAAAGAAAGATATAAAACTTAGATATGACTACTTTTCCAAAAAATTCATTATAATAGCACACATGGTACTATATGGAAAGTTAAAATGAATCTAAGAAAAATTTTTATCTTTTATTCATGAACTACAGTATTACCCCAAAGAATTCTATCAATGATATAAACACTACTTAAGGAGATTCATAATTCAGTTATCTGCTACTTGTTAGCACTCTGGTATAAAATGTTATGTGTTTAGAAGTATATCAGTATATTTTTTTATAAATAATCAATATATAATAATATTCCATATCTTAAAAATATATGCAAATATAGAAATTTTTTTTAATTACTAATATATGATCTGGTATTACAGAAGATTCAGATTTCATTATATAAAAAATGTTCTTTTATACACATAAACAAACCACAGAAATGTTAGCTCTAAAGATCATTAAAAAAGGTGCTTCACACAGTGTATTAATCAAATAACTAAACAAATATAAATCCTATGTGATGCAAAGAAAACAGCAATTAATTACTATCCTTACACTGTTGCAAAGTTTTTCAGTTGTGAAGATAAGAACATTTTTACATCACATAACAGATAGGTTATCTTTTCATGTTGAGCATGCAGTCACCATGCACCATAAGATAACTCGCATCCAACACTGAAAGGCCATTCAATGCGCTCTGTAATACAGGGTTTGTACAAAAAGTATTGGGACAAATAGATTTATTTGAGATATTGCTATAATACCTCAGAAGTCTTCAAAGTATATTCCTTAAGCATCAACAGACTTTTGTCAGTGGTTTTTTCCTGATTTGAAGGCTCCCTAGTAGGCGGATTGTGGAACGTTCTTTAGGGTATGGGTGCTAGCTTCTTTGATGGCATATAAGGTTCCATAGTGATGTCCTTTGAGGAAGGATTTCACTTTTGGGAATAGGAAAAAAGTCTGCTGGTGCCAATTTGGGACTGTAAGGGGATTATGGAATTATCGAGATGCCATTTATTGTCAGTAGTCTGTGACCTTGAAGCAGGTACGGTTGGGTGCATTGTCATGATGCAATTTCCAATTTCTGGCAATGGTTGGCCTCACTTGTTTGATGCTGCTCTTCAGTCTTCTTAGCAGTTCTAGCTAAAAATCACCAATCACTGTCTGCCCCTCAAGTACAAATTGTAGTGAACCATCCCCTTGGCACTGAAGAAAACAATGAGCATGGCTTTCTCATTTGAGAATTTTTTGGATGAGGTGATACTGGAGTGTGCAATTCAGAACTTTGTCACTTTGTTGCCAGGTCATACTCAAATATCCAAATTTCATCTCCTGTGATTACTTTGTCGAAAAAGCCGGGATCTTCTTCAACTTGCTGCAGAAGGTCTTCACAAGGAGACACTTGCATCTGCTTTTGGTCAGTCATCAGGGCCTTTGCGATCAGTTTAGTACAGATCTTTCGCATTGCCAAATTTTCAGTAACAGTGCACACCAATTGTATCCTTTGCACACTTAACTGAATTCAGCTCTTCATGAACACATTACACATTTTTTATGGTTCTTGACATCGGGGGGTAGGGGCATCCAGCATGGGGCTTATCCTCCACATTCTCTCACCCATCTGCAAAGAGCTTCTGCCAAATAAAAACTGAAGTTTTTGACATGCTTTCATCCTTGAACATTTTGCAAATCATGGCCACTGTCTCTGTATCTGATTTCCCCAGTCTAATACAAAATTTGATAGCTTATCGCTTTTCAGTTGTTCATTGCATTTTGTGCTTGCACTGAGTCACTGTCCACTAAAAACACAATCCAACCTGTAAGAACACTTGCAGGCGATTGGAATTTGACACTTTTTAAAGGTCACATCCTCCACCACTGAGCATGCCTGGTGTGAGCGCACTCTGACATACAGTAATGTCAGAAAATAATTGTTTCTGATACCTTTTATATAAACCCTGTATATTGCTGCAGTAAACTGCCTTATTAATACTTCCTAATAAAATGCAGCTAAGTTTCTTCTCTAAGATGTACAAGATTTTAAGAGTGTGTATGGGATGAGTTATTAAGCATCCTATAAATCCTGATACTATGTTTCTGTTCAATAATACATGAAAACTGTATTCCAGATATTAAAATAACATTACAAAAATGGCTGGATTATCCTTTAATATGACAAATTACAGCTGACTGCACATTTCCGTATCATGTGCAGTTCTTGTGATGTAATATCATAGTTGAACTGGATGATATAGTTTTCCCTGGGATTGTGCTTTGCCTCATACATGAAATTTTTTGCCATAGCCCAGAGATAGAATTACAGTAGAGTCAAGTCAGGTAGCCTTGACAGCCACAGTTTTTGGTTATCAGGAGGTCAGTGAAGAAGATCTCCAAGAATGCTATTGTTTCACAAGCAAGATGAGCCATGGCTCTGTACTGTTGCAATCATTCATGAGCAATTTTGTTCTTAGCAAGTTGCACAGCAAACTTTTACTGGATGTTATTGCAATAACAATCAGTGTTCACAGTCTGGTCGAGAAAGATCCGGCCATGATGCAATCAGGAAGGTTATTTGGGAATCGATATATCTCAACAAGTGAAACTAGCCTTCATCAATAAAAAAGGTCACATCCAAATCTGTCTTCTGCCTCCTTGGTAATGAAGTGCTTGAACTAGTCACAATAAAGCATGCACTTGCCATGATCAGCTGATTGAAATCCTGTTTTGACAATTATCTTCAATGGGAAGAGTTGCAATATTTTCCTCACTGCCAAATGGACAGTTGCAACATCAATATGTTGTTATTGAGTAAGTTTCTTGATGGACTTGAATAGGCTTTGAAGTAAAGTGTCTGAAATGTCAACAGCTTTTCATCATCTAATTTTGT